ACATTAATCTAGAGAACCTGGCTCATTTTCACTTTTATTTTTAAATTTTCTAGAATTCACTAAATTACACATTTCATTTTCCTAATTAATAATTCGCCATCTGTTCAAGTGCCTGTTTCGAATGGAGCTTTTGAAGAGTTTTCGTCTTGCCCACTTTCGATAGTAATTTCAGAATTTTGAAAAGATCGTTGACAACTCTAACTCCGAATGGCTTGTTTCGGTCCATTTTTTGTCTTGGATATTGTTATTTACACTATGATGATATTTATCTACAAACGAGATAATTTTGCTAAATTAGTAACACTCTAGTCTCTCAAGTTATCAGAAATGATTTATTTTATTCGTCCATCTTTTGAATTGTACAAAATCCTTGGTTAAAATATAAATATTTATTTTCACTTGTAAAAATATTATGTTAAGAGTCTTGAATTAATTAGTCGTCTAAGATTTCAAGATTTTCAGAATAGACCTTGGTTAGAACCAAACATCACCAAACGTTGAACCTTGGTATCATGGATTCTAGCATACTTGCTAAAACCTTGACTCATCATTCACTCACAATAGAAATTTTTGTCGTGGGCTTATTGACTGTTTGCTTTGTACGGATTAAAATTTAATTTTAATCTTAGTCAAAATCTTCAAAATCAAACAATCAATATTAACCACATCTTTTATGAGTTTAACAACTTTTCAACCACACATTTTAAAAACCTTTATTACAATCTATTAAAAAATCTAATTTTAATTCGTGTCAAACACCCTATCAGCATTACATTGATCATAACTATAGACTGTTACTTTATTAATCGACATTAATTATTACTTTTCTAGTGATGCTCAATCAACTTGATTAAGATATATCTTGATTTGACGGTCAACTCTAATTATTGCAAGGATTTCATTGTGGTTAAATTTATTTGTTTGAGAAATTGTCAAGATGAATTTATTTTTAACACAAAAGAACAAATTAAATTATCTGAACAATTCTTGAGATACAAAACGAAGAATTTTAGCCGTTAGATTTAATAACAGATTTCGTTAGGAATACCAGCAATTAACAGATTATTAACATCACGTTACGGTTGTATTTGACCTTGAAACCTTTGACGCCAAAAAAATGACGTGACGCTGTCCCACGTTTGGCAGTCATTCCCACCACGCGTTTTTCATCTAAACTATTCCAATAATTTAAACATAAATGCCAAACGGCACCTACTAGGATTATATCCAATTATCCATACGTGATAACAAGTTTCCACATCAAAGACACTACTTTTGAATTAGAATCGTCTGTGTAAAGATAGTTTGTCATTTAGTAAAATTATAATTGAGTCACTAAAATTTAGTTTATGTTTTATTTATTTATTTATTTATTGAATATGTTAAATTTCGTCACCTATCATCCTCAAATTGACTAAATTTGAAAGTCACAATGTAACTTTTTTTTCACATAATCGCTATGTGGCACTCTAAAATAAAGATGGTAAAATGAGGGATTTGATAACTTTTATTAATAGATTAAATGCATTTTTTTTATTTCGATACTTTTATTATCTAGTGCAATGATAAGCTAACGTATCACGTAGTGATTATGTGACAGATTCATTATAGCACGTATATATTTATATGCAATCAAAAAGTTTAGACATTAGATGCTGGCGCACAAGATAAAGTTGGTTGTGGGGGCTAATCCTTATAACTACCATAAGTAACTTAATCAGTTTGATAGATGGGTGACAGAATATTGAAATTTAAAACTGAGAATCATACTACTTGTACATACGTAAATAATAGATTAGTTTACAGTTGCTAAGTTGGTAATATTTTGCAGGCTATTGCCTACTAGGACAAAAAACAAAGTTAAACCAACTTTTGTCAACTCAACGCATGTAAACCAATTTATTAAATATTTCTATACATGTAGCATTCTTGTAAAACTAATATTAAAGTTCACTAATTTGATTGATATTAAATTGAAGTTAAGTAATCTAATAGAATAATCAAAGTATAGTGACAAATTTGGGGGAAAATGATATTTTGATTAGTGATTTTTTTGAAAAATGTGTGATCAAAATGTGGAAAAATTTTCGATTTATATGCAAAATATTTTATTGCGTGAATGTATAGTTAAAAATGAATATAAATAATGAAGAGTTTTGAAAATTAAGGGACTAAAACAAGGGCCAAAGTTTTGAGTAATGTTATTCAATACCGTTGGTGTTTAATACCGACCTAGATGACATCACTTGTATCATTAAATTATAGGTTCAATAGAATACGATGATTTATAACTCATTTATTAAGACTCATTACATGCTTACACTTAGACTGGTGCTGAATGACCTATTCTAAAGTTTTGTCGGAAGACTGATGACCACAACTGAAATTTATATTTAGTTATGCTCAATATATTAATATTTTTTAAAATAATATTTCAATGTGTCGAATTGAATCTCATTAGATAAAGATGAGAATAATAATAAACTACAAAGACAATTTTATAAAATTACCATTTAAAATTGAACTCAAATATTCAATAGTATTTATATAATTATATTACGATATTATTCTTAGTTGCATTGTTTAGCAACATTCTAATGCTATATTTGATGCAAATTAGTGCGTGACCAATCCCAATATTAAGAAGTCAAATCTCAACATGTTAAATTCTAAATCTTAAAATACCTTGAACCCTTTAATCTCTGTAAAATTAAATTTTCATTGTAAACATCCTTTGTTATTAAGTTATATGTTACAATAAAAACAATTAGTATATAGATTATGAATAATGTTATTTACTATTAATGGTACTAGAACATCAATTTAGGTGATCACGGTTGATATGTTCGATTAAATAAGTTTTTGTTTAAGTCTCATTCTTTGGAAAAAAAAAATTCTTAAACAGTGTTTTGATATCATTTCAACAACACATTCTTCAATAAAATATATTACATATAAATTCAAAATTTTTCTTTATTTTTAAATTACATATTTTCCATCAATACACTATTCAAAAATGTATTTTTCCCCCTAAAATGAGGCTCAAACAAGGGCTAAATCACATGACGTTTTATCTAGATGAATCTATAATATGACATCATGCAATTTTCACCTAAAGTAGTGCTAGACATCAATGGTTCTGAATAACATTATTCTAGAATAGGCTCATTACATTCTTTAAAAAAAGGGGGGAAAAGGAGAGAATTTCACATGTTAGGCGTAGCTGGTGTATTTAACGGCTCCTTATTCAGTGCTATGCATGATTCCTTCATTACAGTTCTATAATTCAGAGTATCATTTCTTATTTGATCCATTTAAATTCCATATTCAAAGTTTCCATAAATCATTTGTTTTGTAACAATAGGGATAGAATTTTCTCAATTCTAATCTATAAGACGTATTGTGCCGGTTCAACGATTATTGACTAAGTAGCTAGATTTATATAGGCGAGCGACTAATATTTTTTTAATAAAAAAAAGTTAGTTATAATGAGCCAAACAAAACAGGTAATTAGTGCGTCACCATATTGTTGCCGACGATTGCGCATTTGTGGACCCCACACGTCAAACCAAATTACACTCCACACATCACGGAGTGGAAGAATTACCTAATCAATCAACGGACCTGATACGACAACGTCATCATGCAAAATAAACAGTAAAATCAATTTTAACTCGCCGGTAAAAAAATGTTACTGCTGAACAGAATCTGATTTTGTTGGACATTTGGCGCCAAAAGACATGCCCCCACGCCTCCCACGAAACCCCTTCTGTATGGGAGATTTTTAATCACATTAAAATCGAATCTAATTAGTTCCAACTACTAAGAGTCTGTTTGGGAGTGATTTTAAGAATTAATTTTTTGACCGTTAAGAAAAAAGTGGGATCCACCTGTGAGAGAAGAAATCAAATATGACGGCTGGAATAGTGAAATAACGATCAAAAAATCAATTTTTTGGGTGAAAAAATCGGGCCCAAACAGGCCCTAATTGAATTTTGATTCAATTTCAGAATTACTTTTAATAATCATTTGTCAGAATTTATTATCCCCTTGTTTGAGCCCCATTTTAGGGGGAAAATACATTTTTGAATAGTGTATTGATGAAAAATATGTAATTAAAAAATAAAAAAATTTAAATTTACGTGTAATATTATTTTATTAAAAATGTATAGTTAAAATTATATCAAAATACTGTTGAAAAATTCATGTTCTGGATCAAACAAGGGCATAGGTACACGAAAGTGAAAACAACGAAAATTACATAATTTACATATTTGAACGATAAAGTTATTTTAACAAATCTTAAATCATCTCCAATTATGGAGTAAAATTGAGTGTAAATTGATATCTTCAAAATTAATTTTTTTCATCCTCATTTATATTTCGAAGAATTTAAATTCAAATTTTGCTCCAATAAAAAAAAATAAAAAATCAATCTTCTTTGAGTTATGTTATATATACAAAGTTAGTTGACAAAATAATATTTACACCAATCATTTCAGAAAGAGATTTTTAAATCATTGGAAATCAATAGTCTAAATTTTGTCAACACTTATTTTGTTAACCAAATTTGTAAACACACTTTATACAAATAGTATAATACATTTACTTTTGCCTCTTGTAGATATATATTTACAATTCGCATTTTCTTTGCATTTCTCCATTTAAGAGGTTTTCGACTATTTTTTGAAGATCTATACAATTTAGATTTATTTTACACCATAACTGAAATTGCAGATTTGACTCATAGTCAAGTAAGTTTTTGTATACATATTTTATTAAATTTCACTTATTTATAATTTAAATTGTTTGTAAACACTTCAAATGTAATGAAACAACTTAAACTCTTATTTTGATAATCGTTAAATTTTATTTTTAATCATTTATTTTATTAAATTAAAATTTTAATATTCATTTTTTAACCATACATTTGATGAAATTATAATTAGAAAGGGAAAAAAAATAAAAAATAATGCGCTTTACTAAAACGACCGGGACCAAAATTCTCCGGTTTACCTTGTTTGTCTTTTGTTTGGAAGACCGTCCTTATTCTTCTTTCATGGCTCTGGTCAGCACAATCCAAAATATATAAGCCCAATTGTTCTTCCATTTAAGACTCATCATCTTATTGCCTCACATAAAGACGTACACACAGAGAGAGAGAGAGAGAGAGAGAGAGAGAGATTAATTGATGATATTTTGAATAGAGAATTCTTCAGAAATGGCCTGTTTGGATGGAATTAACTGTAACAATCTTATAGAAGAAATGCAAGAGCCCAGTGTTGATAGAGATAAATTGAGCTACGAGATTTTTTCGATTTTGGAAAGCAAGTTTTTGTTTGGTTACGATGATCAAAAGCTTTGGATTCCAAAGCAAATATCACCGCCCATTGAGCAGCCGAAAAACGACGACGTTGTGAACGACGGCGGCGATGTTCAGGCTATAAAATATCAGAGGGGAAAAATCTGCATTCTGAGCATCGACGGTGGTGGAATGCGAAGCATAATATCGGGTAAAGCGCTGTCGTATTTGGAGACGGCGTTGAAGAATAAGTCTGGGAATCCGGCAGCCAGAATATCGGATTACTTCGACGTCGCCGCTGGCACCGGCGTCGGAGGAATTTTCACGGCGATGCTCTTCGCCACTAAAGATCAGAACCGGCCGATTTTTAACGCTGACGACACGTGGAAGTTTCTCGCAGCAGAAGGGAAGAAATTCTACTGTTCAAGTAAGTCGAAGCCTACTCTCTTCAAGAGAATATTTAACAAAACCGGCGGCGGAGGAAATTCCGCCACTGGTTCAGCGACGGCTGGTCTAGAGAAGGCAATGAAGGAGGCGTTTACGGATGAGAAAACTGGGCGGAGTTTAACGTTGAAGGACACTCTAAAACCGGTTTTGATTCCTTGCTATGACCTCTCCACTACGGCGCCTTTTTTGTTCTCCCGAGTCGATGCTCTAGAAACGGACAGCTATAATTTTAAGATATGGGAGGTGTGCTTGGCTACGTCGGCTGAACCTGGCCTTTTCGACCCGGTTTGCATGAAATCGGTTGACGGATTGAACCGTTGCATAGGGGTTGACGGGGGACTGGCCATGAATAATCCGACGGGGGTGGCTATTACGCACGTGTTGCATAATAAGCAGGAGTTCCCATTCGTTAGAGGAGTCGAGGACGTCTTGGTACTCTCAATAGGCACGGGTGGCCAGCTGTTAGAGCACAGTTTCGAGTTTGAGCAAGTCAAGAGATGGAAGGCCGAGGATTGGGCTCGACCTCTGGCTAAGATATCTGGCGACAGCTCAGCCGAGTTGGTCGACCATGCCGTCGCTATGGCTTTCGGCCAGAACCGGAGTTGTAATTATGTCCGTATTCAGGTACTTTCACATGTTTACCTAAGTTTAAAAAGTTCACTTGCACGAAAGCGAATAAGTTTTAAAATAAAGGAAGAAACGAGTTTGGGGCTAATGTGCACAGTTGGGTATTTTGGGGGCATGCAATTTATTATTGGAAATTGTGAAGATTAGCGAAGGAGAAGCCAAAATTCCAACCTAAAATGAACTGTTTGACATTGACATATTCTACCCAGACCAGACTCTCGTGTTCTTGCTGTTCTTAGTACATATAGCTGTTTTTTTACCCTTGTAGGATTGGGTAAAATGTCAAGAATTACGTAAACTCCTGCAGTATTTTTTTCATTACGCTGAATGCTGCTACTGTTACTATATCAGTCACATTCTTTAACTGGCTGTTCTTTAAATGTTGCAATGGTCAGCTAATGCTTTGATTATTTGGGTTATTATAGCACTGCTCTGTGAGGTAGATTTTGCTACTTTAAGCTTAGCAGATAGGAGTTGGATCTGACGATCTGTTGTAATTTCTTTTCTATAACATGTCGTTTGCAAGGATAATTGTCAATAAAGTTGTTCCGTTTGGTGTTAAAACAAAAGAAACCCCAAATACAGCTTGCAATCCTGTCCTTTCATGACATTTTCACCTGGAATATTACTGGAATCCTTAAAGTCTGCCATCAAATTGATGTTAGGTACGGTAAGATATGTGGGGGTGTGGAGTATCTGCAATTTGTACCGGCAGTCGTAGTTCATTGTCCTACGGCAAAGATTGATACAATCTTCTTGGGCCATGAATCAATCCTGGCCCTTGAAGAGGATATCTGATGCTTGTTGCAGCAAGAGAATGTGACTTGACTTAATAACTAAATGTATGAAAATGCAGCATCCATAATAACATCAAGAGTACATATAGTGACGTGATACAGATTGAAATTTGGTGGAATGGACTAGAAATAAAAGAGGGTTGACATTATTGTAGTTCATCTAAATATGATTATGGGTTTCGATGTTTAACACTCCAGTGTACAAATAGCAAAATTCATATGATTATAGTGGGATTTATTTCATATATTCTCATGTGGTCTCTATCATAATTTTGACATAGATGGATCAAACTCTTTCCCATTACTGTAACTGGCTTAGTCATAAATCTAAGTTCTATTTTACATAATAGGACTTCTGCCACTTCCTTATTACCATTTAGACAATCTTCGATTTAATAATAGATAAAAGACCGTGACTCCACCTAGCTTGAAAAAGACTATGCCGCCAACTGCAAATCTAACTCTCTCTCATATGACCTAAGGTAACTGTCTTTAGGATTTGGCCTGAACTGTTTGGCAGAATACCATGTGTTACGCACCTGTTCGCCACTCGTTTGGGTAGGAATCGTTAAAGAAATTTAAATTAAACTATTATTTTCTGGCGCTGCACAAAATTCATTTGTCAGTAGCAATTCAGTAACCTTCAAATGTTTCATTGGCTGTCATAAGTTTATCTTTTTAATGTACTTGTGAATAACAGGCAAATGGATCCAGTTTGGGTGGATTTCGGCCAAATGTCGACTCTGATTGTAGCCCCAGCAATGTAAAAATGCTCATGGCAATGGGCGATGAAATGCTGAAACAGAAAAATGTAGAATCTGTTTTGTTCAATGGTAAAAAGATTGGAGAGCAAACCAATTTGCAGAAACTTGACTGGTTCGCTGAACAACTTGTGCTAGAGCATCAGATGAGGAGCTGCCGAATGGCTCCTACTGTTGCATTCAAGCAAGCTACTCCAAAACCTTCTTAAATATATCCCTATTATAATCAAAAAATTCCCAAAAAAAAAAGGTATGTTGTCTTCTTTGACTAACTTTACTTTATGATAAATTATTAATTATGTTATCTTATGCTTTCTGACTTAGCGCGCTGATATCAGCTAGGTCCTATCCATTATTCTCATTGCTGGTGCATAATGTTTTTCATTCATTATTATCATATTATAACATTCATATTTTGCGGGATTCTAATCACAAGAAAATATTGGTTTTGTCTGTTTTTTGGTACCCGTGGGCTCTGTTCTGTCATTTTCTACTGATTTAATAAACACGAGAGCGTTTAACAACCGCTGGTTGTTTCCAGTAGTTAATGAGTGTGAGAGATGGAAAATTAGGTGATGTTGGGAAAGGAAATCTCCCTTGCTGTCTGGCCCAGGATACTGATTCTTTAGGTACGTTGGTTAGGACTTGGAACCATGACTCTTGAACAAAACCGCATTCATTTGTTAGTCTATAGATGTGTCGGTTGTCTCAGAAAGACTTTCTTTTCCCAATCTGTGGACAATGAGACCATATCTGATCCTTAGAATTTGAGACTGGATGGTACTGTTTGATTCTCGTGGATTTTCTCCAGACGAACTTCAGTAGAGAAGAGTAGTCTATAATCTAAAACTTCAAAAAAGTTCGTAATTTTATGGAACCAAGGTAATAAAATTAAGCCCGTGTTTGTTTCCCATTTTTTCCTCTACTTTCAGAAGAAATAGAACCATTTTTGGGCCCACCTGGCATGATTTATTTGACCTGCATCTCACATTTGGCTTAGAAAAACGGGCACAACGGTTGGAAAACCCATTTTCATTTCGAAAAAATGTGCAGCAAACACAGACTAGGTGAAATTGAATTGAAATCTACTTGAAATAACCGGGAACTCATCACTTTCAGGCAGTGGCATTGTTTAATCTGATTTCGCGCGCTTGTGGCCTTTTCATGTCATTTAAGAATTTGCTTTGACATAATTAAGTGTTACTTTTTCCCTTTTGTGCATTCACAATGTTTCTCGACTTTTAATGTATTTCTGCCCTTCAATGAAGGTACAGATGTATGAAATTCAAAAAGAGCAAAGAACTGGAAGAAGAAAAGCAATATAGTAGCTTTTACTTTGTGAGAAAAACATCAGGTAGGAAGAAAATTGGTCAAGAACTTTAGTGAAAAGGACTATGTAACTGTAAAAAAGTATGGATTTTGGTAATTCTCCTCACTTGAGATTTGCCATAGAATTGGTCTAGAGATTGCGCAACAAATAAATCCTTCATTCTCTTGATCTCAAAAGAGTGTTATTGTTGGTGGGTTACCATTAAATTTTGTTTAAGGTTAGTGGTGGAGAGAAGATTAATGGTTTTTGTAACTTTTAGCAAGGATGCCTTTGTGATTGTGAGTTTAGTGTTGTTGGTTTCTCATTGGCTACTGATTGTGTTTATTGATTTTGTATTTTGTTTGCATTAATATTTCTCGATTTATTGAAGATACATCCTCTCTTATGGTGCGTTTAACCCTTCATCCTTTCTTGTCAAAATATTAGACAAATTTTAACCTTTTTCTTTTATAATATTACATTCATCTAACCAAATAAATCATCAATGTATTGGTAATTGAAATTGACTAAGGGTCCGTTTGATTGCAAAGATGGAATTGAATTGAATTGTATTGAAAATGAATTTCAGGCTAAGTGTGGGGGATTCGATTCCTGAGATATGGAATTAGACTTTTTGTAGGCGCAGTATACAGACATTTCTTGTTTCCTGACCTATTAGGATACATTCCACAATTTACCTCCCTCACAAAGCTCTAGGAGCAGGGGTGGTGGGGATCCTCAAAGTTGGGATTCAATCTTTTTTAAAATATTAGACAAGTTAAACATTATCACCATAATTAATTATTATTATTATTATTATTATTATTATTATTTGGGGACAAGTTTAGGCAATTAAATCAATATAATAGTTATATGATGACTTTCGAATATATGGCAAGAAAAGTGTATTAGGCCCCGTTTGATTGTGCAAAATTTTCCATAGAAAATGGAAAATCAAATTCATTTTCCATCTTTGTCCTGTTTGATATCATTTATTATTATTTTTTTTTTTATAGGAAATCCATTTTCTAGCTTGTCTTATGAAGAAGCAAATTCCATCTTTTCAAGAATCCCAATTCTAGTTTACTGTAGTGATTTTTTATTTTTTTATTTTATTTTTTTCATTTTTTTTTCAATACCAGTAAATTTCATCAATTTAAATGACAATTTTCATGTAAAACAAAACCAAACGAACATAAAAAAAAAACACTTTTGTTTCAAAATATTTCACGTGGAAAATTATATCAATCAAATACAATAATTTACAATTCCCAGAAAAATAATTTATAGACAATTCAATACCCTAGAATTCGTTTTCAATTCTATCTTTACAATCAAACGAACGCTTAGTCAATTTCAATTACCAATACATCGATGATTTGTTTGGTCAGATGAATGTAATATTATAAAAGAAAAAGGTTAAAATTTAATAGATCATATATTTTATGTGAAACATATCCAATTGCTATTCAGAATCTCATCCCGTACATTGAAAAAGTAATTTGATTTTACATTTCGATGTTGGTACTTTCCACCCAGACAATTTCTCAATCTAAACATGTTTGAAGAGTATTTATAAATAATTTAGATTATAAATAGATAGAAACGATTAGTAGATGTGTAATTTATTTGTTCCTTGAAATGTATGAATAAAAAGTGACTAAGAATAATTAATAGATAGCACATTGAGTCAAATAATGGAGTTTACATTTGTTACCTCTTAATATACTATCAGTCTGTTTGGAGTGATTTTTTGGTTCAAAAAATTGATTTTTTGACCGTTATTTCATTATTTCAGCCGTCATATTTGACTTCTTCTCTTATAGGTGGACCCCACTTTTCTCCTAACGGTCAAAAAATCAATTCTCAAAATCACTCCCAAACAGACTCTATGACATCTTGACACATTACTTCTTTGGGGCAATGGAGAAAACAACAATATATTATGTTTTGAAGTGTTGACTTCTTATTTGTTGAAAAAAGGAATGATGTGCCGGAAAGAAACAAACATATTTCAATTCGTGTCCATATAGCTGAACCTTAGCATTCTCTTGTGAAGTCCTTCTCATATCTGAATCTTGAGTACATGTATTTTACAAAAGGCAATGAAAATGAATTTCACCAATTATTTTGACAGAGACAAAGTCCCCAACTCAAAAGTCGCAAACAAACTGGTGACGCTAACGGGATATGGAAGTAAACGCCGCGTGATATTCAAACTAAAGCAATTTCGAACTTTTATTCAAATGATTAGCAGATTCCTATTCCCTTTAATTTTTTACTAGTTTAATTTTCATATGGAAATTGCTTGGTCACCATCCAACATATCTTGGCCGTTTCAAATTCCTTTCCCGTACTTGTGGTTTTATTTTATATATATATATATAAATCTTCTTTTTGTTGTAAAAGGAAAGTTTATTAGGATTTAGAGGTGAATGACAATTGTATCCATGCAGTTCTAGAAATTACTTTCTGCATATAAATCAAACTGGAATAATAAAATTATGGATTAAGCTATGTGTATTCATTAGTCTTCTCTCCTACAGCAATGTCGTTTGTTATACTATCCATCCTCTTCTTATTTTTAGTTGTACATTACAAGTCCGAAAGCCTCTTCAATATGAGGGATCCTTCAAAATCAAAATAGAGAAGGGAGAGCGAGCTTGGAGTTTTGACAGTGACCGTAATTTTCTTCCTTTCTTATGATGCCTATAATTAAGATAAGATGTTACTACAATTGTAGCACTTTCCTTTGGTTTAGTTTAGGGCGAGAGGTCCAGTTTCAGCAATGGAAGTGATAAAAGGAGAGTGTCTACTGGCTTTCATTTTTTTTGGCTACTCTAAGAAAGGCTATCAACATTTGGACAACTTCCTCTTGCTTGATCTTTGTGGTCGAAGTCTACATTATATCACCAGTGATGAGACAACCCTTTTCATCCCTCACCCTGCTGGGGATTTTTGAGCAGCAGACGAGAATTTTTCCCTATTTACCCGTCCTAGTTACTTATTTGTTTTTTAATTTAAATTTAAAAATTAATTTTATGAGCACAAGAATAAAATAAAAAATAATCAGGACACAACAACACAGGATAGGTCATAATTAGTTTCTTATCCTCCCATTTAGGACAGCTCAACGCCGGGTAGGACATTTTGCCATCCATGCACCAATGATCACCAATTCCAATTTGCTTATATTTCAGGTCATAGCGTCTAGTATTAAGTTGTACTTCACTAGTTATTCTAGCTGCTCACCAAACCTTAAAAGGAAAAAAGAAAAAAGAAAAATTGAGTCTATTTTTTACTAACATTTATTTAGGAAGTCAATTTTCATTTTTTCCTTTTTCTTTATTTTTTCAACCACCACATTTTACCCTAAAGTCACACATCCAATTATACTATGTTTACACATAGGAACTGATAATTATAAATTAATGATGGTGATTTTTCATTCGTAAATTAGATGAAGATAGAAGCAAAATAATATTTAGTAACCAATTTGGAGTAATTTATTAATATTTGTTACTTATATAGCCTCTGTTTGACAATCATTATTTGAAAACTCTTTTTTCTATATATTTATTTTCAACTACACATTTACACAATAAAAAATTCTGTACATAAATTTAAAATTTTTTCCTAATTTTTAACCACACATTCTCTTAAAATTTATTGTTCAAAACATTATTTTTCCCTAATAATGGTTGTCGAATAAGAGCGTAGATATGCTTGTGTCCAGTTATCAATGTCACACACCTTATCGATTAATCAAACTCTTCCAAATTTCACAAGTTACCAATCTTGTCTCTTCAAAGACGAAAATATAAATTGACATTGTTCACTGGACTTAATCCACTAAACTCGAGACTTCTCAGCTCTCCAAACGGGTACAATCATCCTTTAATTTGAAGGTTGAACTCCAACCTTGAGAGCCTCCACCACCTCACCCTTGGAGATCATGAGGGAGGTAAATTGCGGGATATGCCCCAACAAGTCAGGGGACAAGAGCTTGCCCGTACACTGGTGCCCACAAAGAGTCTAATTTCATATCTCAAGAATTGAACCCTCACACTACGGATGTTAGCAAGGTTGAGATTACCTCACTCCTATCCTTTGCACCACTAAGTTATGCCCCATGGGGCCAATCATCCTTCAATTTGTGTTAAATTGAAGATTGTATATGAACAAACTTCTCATTCTCCTATTATCTTTAAATTTTAATATTGTTAGGTACATTTTTCCGATAAGGAAAATACACCTTAAGAATTTGAAGACTAGCATATGTATTTAATCATTTAATATTGCACATTTTACTATTAAATTAAAATTTGTACATTGAACATGTCTATCCTTAAAAATACGTGACACGACCTTAAATTAGACAATTTAAGATTCGAGTAAGTAATTGTTATCATGGAAGCAGGTTAAAGGAATGGCGGTGTTGATGGTAAAAATTGGATCAAATAAATTTATTTGCAAATAATTACAATCAAAGATTAATATAAATATAATCAACAAATCCGTTTACCTTATGACTTTTACCTCCTAAATTTGCTAATCTAAATGCTTAAACTAGAACAAGAGGAGAAATAACTAATTGAAATGGAGATATTTAAATTGTATGCCATTCTTTAAAGGAAAAATTGCAGCAGCGGTCCCAAATCTTTGAATTTTTTTGCAGACTTTATTTTAACCTTCAATTTGTGCCACTGTCAGTTCCAAACCTTTGAAAAATTAGCACATAGGATCCAAATGGATGGTTAGTTGACCAAGAAAAAGTGTTTTGACTAAATTTTAAAAGGATAAAATGGTAAAGTCATAATTATTTCATGTAAAATAGTTAAAACAATTTTCAAAAATAAATAAATAAAAATGAGAGGAATAGTACATATTCCCAAACCTACCCCACCCTCACTTCAACTCCAATCCAAACCCCATCCCCCAACCCAACTGATAATATCGCTAATAATCAGCCAACCTCTTCCTCTCGAAGGCAACTTACACTTCTCTTGAGATATTGCTATAATTTTTCTTATATTTCACAAGAAAAACAATGGACAACAGGTGTTGACAAATAGAGGCCAAAAATTTACAAAAGGTTTTGCCATCTTCTATCCACCAAATCTGGAGAAAACCCATAAAATATTGAGGAAGTAGACTTTCATAATCATTAGATCAAATGGCCAACTGATACTATTGCTAATAATCGGACAGCCTCTTCCTCTCGCAATGTACACTTATCTCGAGATATCGATATCATTTTTCTTATATTTCACAAGAAAATTACAATGAACAACAGACTGTTGACAAATAAAGGCCAGAAATGTACAAAAGGTTCAGCCATGTTCTATCCACCAAATCTGGAGAAAAACCAGAGAATATTGAGGAAGTAACTTTCATAATCATT